TTACTAATTCTTTTGATTTGGTCCGACTAGCGCGCACTTTAAACTTTAAAGAGGAAGACAAGTGATGATCAGATTATACTTTGGAAAATTCCGCCAACCGGCAAAACTCAACCCTACCATCCACTGCCGGAGATGGATGGCCAAATATACTAACAGAAAGTGAAATCAAACTCTTAAGACTTTTCTTCGACAATTATAACTAACCATCAATCGATTAAAATAATAATCGAGAAACAAACTCACATAGTCACATGTGCCTATTAGTTGACAAGTTTCAAGTACATACGATGAACTCGTATTACCAATATTGATAATCGTCACGAGTTACATCTTCTTAACTCGAGTGATCTTTAATTCGAAAAATGTATACACATTAATGACTTTTCTATTGTTCTCCTGTACATTTTCTGAGGTAAAAAAGTCTACCCCAGTGAGGGTTTGAAGAGAAACAGCAGCAAACTAGCTTTACTAGCCATATATAGCCTTGGACTACTGATGTGGATTTGATTGATTACTGCGTTTTATGGCCTAGTGCCTTGCGTTCAACCTTCCAACTGCTCCAATCTTGTTTACCCATTGACCAATTCCACAAATTTCTCTAATAGTATTATAAGATTTGCTCTCTCTTATATATATCTTGCCTAATTTCAATCATTGTTAGAGTCGTGATTGCGATGGTATGGCACATCCCTATCGACATGATATTCATCTGAATTTGTCTATCATCGTTATGAACGAAGTTTGGCCCTCCTAATTCTGAATATTCTCAATCCAATGATCTTTTAAGAATCGGCGAGTGAAAATCGTAATTTTTAATTTTATACAAGAAAAAAAGAGCTTTTATGCCCGAGAAGGGTACAAGTACCGATTTTGTTCTCCCAATTTTCCTAGCCTAATATTTTAGTTCTGATGCAAACTGCTAATTAACTTAATCGTAAATGTTTTGTATATGTAAAAAAAAAACATGTTCCATCGATCATAATAATTTCTGATTATTATCTCTGACACACCCCACAACGAATTAGTAATCACCAGCAATAACAATAGCATATAAAAGCGATACAACATCTATAATAGAATCTTGAAGCGTCTCAAATTCGTCTAGTCTCAAACCCCGCAAAGCTCTGTCAATCTAATTAATTAGTTAAATGTCGAAGTTCATCTAAGTTCAAAAAAGAAAAAAAACTACGAAACATGTTGACGTTCACATTTTTTATCCGGTTCTTCACGACGATCTTGGTTTAGTAGGTATAGAAAACAAACTTGAATCAAGCAAAGACTTCATCCACATGGTCTTCTTTGCATTTGTTGTTTCTTGAGCCCCAAGGGACTAGTAAAATAGTTAATTGTTGTACAAAGCACTAAGTAGGTCAACTACCTGAGATCGACCTCACTACTCACACTCTCATATGTCATCCATATTCAACATATGTATGACTTACGTCGGACACGTAGCAGGTTTTTGGCACAATATGATGGATACATACATAATATTAATATATATATATTATTTTGTGCTAAATAGTATAATAATTAAGATTAATAATTTAACATATAATGTGAGAGAGAAGAGTTTTCTTGGGACACAATTATTGGGGCTTTTTGTGATTGTGATTAATACCCATCTCGTGCATGTCTTACTCTTTCCTTGGTTTGATTAGAACTGAAGCAAAGTACTATTGGCTCCTAGATTTTTAAAGGATTATTGGCCCACTAAGACATGGATCAATACCCTCCAATCACATTGCCACATGGCATGGCTTAATCACCTTTTTTTTTTCTCTCTTAAGATTAACTGTCCTACCTAGCTAGCTCCCTAAGCTAATCCCTTGTATACTGATAATTTTACTTTTACAGTTTTTCAAATTTCACCTCAAGATGGTTCAAACAAAAAATATTGAGGTTGTTTCGTGGATGGAATTGGAAGAGGCAATTTGGCCTAATTGCATCAAAATGAAGTTATTGGGTAAAATTATTTCGTCTGGCAACACAGAATTAGGATGCACCCATTTTGGCGGATACAATTTGAATTAGCTTTGTTTTGTAGCATTTCGAATTAAAAGGAGGGGCTAGTATTTCAAAATGATGCATTTTTGTGATGCGATTGTGTGATGAGACTGAGACAGTTGGGTCAAATTTTCTCATTTCATAAATCCATCACGTGAAGCGATCCCATACATCTTAATAGTAAACTAAGAAAACTAAAAAAAGTTCCAAATTTAATCCATTGTGACCATTTCAAAATATGGACATGCTACCCTTTTGTCTACAGAACCATATATGATTTTAAAAATGACTAAACATCAATTCAATAATCGATAATTTAAATCAAATCACTTAAATTAAGAAGTAATAGTAAGCCAGTTGGATATGATGATCATAAGCAAACGTCACTACTAACGCGCCGATCTTTGCTGCAATCAATATGTAAAGAAATGCTATACAAATTCATTAGTGCGTACATCTCCTTGTGCCCCAAGTTATAGACTAAGTGACTGAATCTAAAAATTGGTCTTCGAGGAATGTAAATAGTAGAAGAACAAAGATTTAGTGACTAAATAATGTAATTGTTCCTTGAAGATCACGTAATGAGCCATTGAAGTTTGAGAACGACACAAATTCCCCTTTTTTCCAGAATGTTAAATATTATCTCTATCACTCCCATGTTCATTGTTTGTTGTTTTGAGTAATAGCAAAGCAAAGGCTGCTGATCAGTACTACACTGATAATTCCCAGCCCCATCACAACGTGACCCTATAGGGGTCCCCCAGCCGCAGCTCCATTACCCTTAATTAACCCCTCCACCATTACCCCCCTCATCTCTTACAAGTTCCATCATATAACTCAAAATTATTGTCGGTATTTCGCGTCTTTCACCAGACTCTCTCGTGTATCATCGTGCAATATTAACGGCAACCATCTAAAGATTTCGAGTGTCGATCTCGTGTGCAAGTGATGATCAACTTGATCGAACGGTTTTCTGAATACAAGAATGCCGCATAGCCATAAAAACACGAGTTTTCTGAAGAGCGGAAGTAGGGTTTGATTAGAGCAGAATAAATAATATGTAATATTTAAATAGAAGACTATCGGTAGTTTTTTTTTGGCAACTCCCGAAATTGTTGGTAATTGGCATTCTTCATCCCACCTCTCGTGTATTATCGTGTAAGTTAATCGGCGATCTTCTGAAATTATGAGAGTAAATCTACCATGTGCAAAAGTGATGGCCTCTTGTGGCTAATCAGACACCTGGAAATCAGTATGTCGCGTGGACTGATATTTGACACTCGAGATTAGACAACGTCGATACTAGAGAGTTTAGAAGACAGGATGGAATTAGGGTCTGACTAGAGAACAGAGCGGTGCAGGAAATAGATAATAAGTAGGAATATTATCGAAATTTGTCACCGTGTGGATAAAACTACAAATTATTATTAACCTAAAAAACCTAAAAACCTAGACATAACAAAAAATACCAAAACATTTCTTAATCTCATTCGTTCAGCGTAAAAACAACGTACTACTTATTCGCTATGTGAAATCGTACTGAATAATCGAATACAATAAACTACAATCAAATTTGTTATAGCATGATGATACATTGATACTCGAAGTCATGACTCATGAATGATACACAATGCCAATTAGCACACCCTAAAACCGAAAGTTTAAGAAGACAAAAAAAAGATAGACGGAGGCCCCGGCCACTCCACTAAAAATTAGTTGGCTGGCGGCCAGCGGGCCAGGGCCCAAGTTTCCAGTATTAAAACGACATGAAAAAAGCAGCGAGCCGCGTGCGTTTTGGTCGGTCGCCATTATTGAACGACGACGTAGGATGGCCTGCCGCGGGAGGACACTCTTTCACCCATTTCATTTTTACAATTTAGTCCTCTCAATTACTTCCACACTCCCTCCCGATACCTCAATTTCTCAAACTCTGTTTTCTCACTTCACCTTTTCCACCCGTTTCTTTACCCTTTTTTCAGCTTTTAACCCACTTTCTCCACATAATTATTCACCCACGTCCAGTGAAATAATTGTAGGGGTTGCAGTTAATTTTAGTAGGACACATTTATCACTTGACCGGTTATTATTATTATTATTATTATTATTAATCCCCCCTATTCAAGTACTTTTTCACGGCCAATAATTCCCCACACCATTCATTACTTACAACTAAAAGGTAACCGTAACAAAAAATAAATCCCTCCATTCATTACATATATTTTCCTTTTTCAACGAAAAGAGACCGAATCAGAAGAAAATTCCTCCCTTTTTAGCCTTTTCTCCATTTGCTTTTATTTCCTCCTTTTATTTATTTTGTAATTAATTATTATTAGGCTTTTCTTTTTATGGGCAGGCTTTTTATTTTAATTTTTTCGCGGCAGCACGAGAGACGGGGGCTACCAGCGTAGCATTCGTATCCACGGTTTTCAGTCAACAGTCAGCCTTAATTTTGGAGTATCTTCGGATGATTTAATCTTCTTAATTACTTGGTTAAAAACTAATTAAATTAAATTAACAGGAGTATCGAATTCAGATTCACACACACGAGCAGCGACACCGACTTGACTCACTCGGCCGGGCGCCGGCCACAAATCCAAACCGCTAATCACGCCTGCTCGTGTGCGGCAGAAAGAATGCCACCCTGGCAGCCCTTTCCCTTCGACGTTACTACTAATTACCATCGCTAATTAAGAGACTAATGACAGAAAGTAAATAAATACCATATATTTATTTATATATAATTAAAAGAGGAAGAAAAAAACTCAACAAAACTTCACTGTCCCCCGCTCCGTTAACTTTGACGGAGAGGTGACTCACTCACATTGATTTACTTTTAAACAAATTAATCATAAATAAATAAAAATCTAGCTAAAGCCGATCATTACTCAGTCACAGTACTTCCACCGCCGGCTGAACAAAATTTGCCGGTGATGAACGGCAACAAACCGGCGGGCAGGAAACACGGTCACTTCTTTTTATTTTATTTTTTTTACTTAGAGTGCCACAAGAGGTTCCGAGAAGAATAAGTCGCCAATGTCTTGGAAGTAGTCGTCGTCATTGTTTTCCTGGAAAACTGAAGCCGCGGCGGATCCAACAATCATGTCGTTGGGAACATCCGGCAGGAAAATGTCGTCGTCGACGCAGAACCCACCGCCGGAGAAGCTCTGTTTTAAGAGCGCGGTCCCGCTGGCGACGATCGACGCATTCTCGCCGGTGGGTAACGAGGAATCGGTGGCGGAGGAGCAGCAGGCGGTGAAATTGAAGAAATCGTCGGCGATGAACGACGACGAGGACGAAGAGCAGTCTTCTAAAAAGGAGAGCTCCGGCGAGAGGAAGTACTCGTCGGAGAGGGAGTACAAATTGCTGCTGCTGTTTTCGCCCTCGCACTCCTGGAGAAATTGGAGTCCAGCCGTCGCCTCTTCTTCCCCCACCGGCTCAGCCAGAAGCAGAGACATCGGCTCTTCGGGCTCGATCGACGGCGAAGAGACGGGCGTCGAAGGATTCGGCTTGTAACTTTCCGGCTCGGAGGACTCTGAAGCGGATTGTTGGGTTCTGAATCGGAGAACAGAGGTGGGCGATGCGAGGTTGTTGTTGTGCGATTCGTCGCCCGAGTCGTACCCTGAAGTCGAGCTGACTTTAACCTCCGGCCTATTGATCTCCACTTCTTCATCTTTCTCACGCGGATTGACGAAATTCGTCTGTGCGTCGGGTCCCCGGAGCTTAATCGCGGCGTTGTCATAGACCATCGCCGCCTCCTCCGCGGTATCGTAGGTTCCCAGCCAGAGCCGAACCCTCTTCGCCGGATCCCGAATCTCGGCAGCCCATTTACCCCACGGCCGCCTCCTCACTCCTCTGAACTTCCTCTCACCGGACTGAACCGCAGCCGCCGCCGGCCGCACTTCCCTCGCCGGCTTCCCAATCTCCGAAGAAACCGCCGCCGCTCTCACCTCGTTAAACCCTGGCTCGATGTTGATCTCGCTGACATATCGCTTCACTCTCTGCCTCCCGAAGAACTCCCCTTCCTCGTCGCTGGAGGAGTCAGTCGCGTCCGGGTCGGTCATCGATATCCGGACAACCCTCGGCGGGTGGAGCAGCTCCGGCGTCGTCGGGTCGGCTGGCGACCCATACCCGTTAATCGTCTTCTTCCGCTTTAAAGATGACGGCTTTGCGGTGTACTTCCTGGTGGAGCTTCTGTGCTCTGTGTATTTCGCCGGACAGAGAAAGCTCCCGTCCATGGCTGTGTACTCTGTTTCTTTGTACTCTGTTTTCAATTTCTGGGCTCGGGAATCTCTCCGCGCATCGGAGAAAAGGGATTAAAAGGGGGAAGGAAAGCGGCAAAAAAGGAGGGGGGAAGAACAGTCGTGATTGAGAAGGTGAATCGATGGATGGAGAGATTGAGGTGGAACAGAAATCTTGTTGGGTGATTAATTACTCTGCCTCAAAAGGGCCAGAGAGAGAGATAAACCCAGTAGGAGAAATCTTTCGAGGTTTTAGGAGTGAATAAAGGGGTTACGGGGAATATATAAAGAAATCGGCTTTTCTGGGGGATTAAAAGAGGGAAAGATTTCTGCGGCCACGCCGGAGAATCGCCTGAAAAGGGAAGGAGAAGCGGTGGATTTCGTCGGTTCCTGAACAGGGGAGGGGAATCAGTGTAGAAGGGAAAGGAAAGGAGCGTACGGAGGGGCAGAGTAAGTAAGCAAGGAAGGAAGTGTGAAGTGGGGAGCAGAAGAGAAGATGGTGAGGGAAGGAATTGGGAGAGGAGAGCGCTGAATTTGGTGGGAGAGGGGATTTATAAGGAATCCCAACAGCCGAAATTGGAGTACCCCCCATAATTGGTTTTCTATGGCTACTATTTAGTAATTTTTGAATGAAATTCTATATGGTTTTGAGAAGAAAAGAGGTTATTGGATTCTATGGTAATGAATCCTAGACCGGTCTGCTCGGTTGGACCAAAATAGGAAGTAAAGGATAGAGCGGGTTAATGGTTCAAATCTGGGCAATACGATCAAATCGACTCGAAAACGGCCGACTTGAATTGGTTTTTCGATTCAATAGCTGGTTGAGTCATTCACCCGCGAAGAAAATAGGCTTCTGTCATTTCAGTTTTCTAAACATAATAGTTAACTTCTGAATGAATCCACGAAACTATGGTTAGCTAACCGTAGTCCTAGACCATGAGTTGTGCATTATCTTCCCGCTTTTTGAGGACCATCCAAATGAGCAGTTTGCAATCGGAATTCACAAACCTCCCGGCTTCCAAACAACATCGTCGAAAAACTTCAACAACTCTATATTGTTGGGAGACGGATAGTTTTATCTGTATGTTGCATTAGATAAATCATAAAATATTGTATCCAGTGTTCAATTACAATTCTGATATCTGTTTTTTCTTCCGAGCTAATCACTTTCTCGAGTCAAAAGTCGTGTTCAAGTTGACGTGGGAGTGATATGTCACTTTTGCTCAATGAAATATTGCTCAAAAGTCTACTAAGTTCATAGGAAAATCATTAGATCATACTAGCAAAGCTCTGCCACAAAATTAACATGACGGATTTCGACATACAGAAGATCATCAACACAAACTCTATGTTAATCAATTAAAAAAATATTCAACCGTTTTAAACGAAAAAGCATACACTGAGTGAACGATACATAATGTGCTATTATTCTTCTAAGAATTACCTTACTTACCTAAACTACAATACTTGGAGACCGGATCAATGACTCAACTTTTGAATATAGTGGATACCTACTCCATAAAAATCTCCTTTGGGGAAGGTAATTACTTGGGAACTTAAGTGGGTCTCAAAGACCGAACTGGTCGGACCGGAGACCCCGTTTCCGCCCAACGACCCAAACCCAAACTCCACTTAACTAACCAAGGAGAACGCACCGCCGCATCCCCATGGTCCAGTGCGATACCGACACGTGGCCTTGTCCCAAGTGGGCCTAAACGGGAAGAGTTTTGGCCCAATGGGTAAGCATCATAAAGCCTGCCGACTCAGCGCTTTTTTTTTTTTTTTTGGTTTCTTTCCCCTCTCTTCTCGATGAGCGTGATCCCCAGTCACGTGAGGTCCAAGATACCCGGGTCCGGTTAAAATGGGGTTTTTCCCCATTTTCATAAATAAAATTAATAAGTAAAATTAGTTATAGTAAGTCGGTCAAACTAACAAATCTCCTCCCGTTCCTCGTAAATGTCCACTTCTACCCTTCTGCAGGTAACAGCTGGCCGTTTCCGATAAGGGCGCGCTCGTCATTTCCTGCTGCCAGTCGTTTTTACTTCATTTCTGTTTCCGCCTTTTGGAAGATTTAACAGTCGGGGATTAATTTGTTGTGGTGTAGCGTTTTTGTTTTTAATGATTTTGTTTTTACCTTTTTTTTTTCACTGGCTGCCAGCTTGAAGTGAGGAGGGGGTAACGTGGCCGGCAACCTAGAAGTCGCCGCCAAATTTTCATAAATTCTGTTTTATCGTTGTACTACTACACGTCTCTCTGGGCCTTTTCTGCTCTCTACACTTATACGTACAGTCATATACATTACTAGTAATAATATTGTTTTTTACTTTTATTTCACACGATCGAGATATGCCTCCTCCACTTCCCATTTCTCTTCCGTGCGCCTCACGCTCCATTAAATCCCAAGAAAATAAAAATATATAACATAATCGAATTTAGCTGGAGCGCGAGCTCACTTTTCTTATAACGAAGATTTAAGCAGCGCATACGTTAGAGGTTATATCTTAGTTAATTCATGATTATCGATATGAAGATGTATATGATTGATTGAGTGCATCTGCATACATTGGTGGTGCTGCTGTTGCTGTGGTTATTTGAAATGTTTTCTTGAAATGGTCGGGTATGTTAAAGACCGGAACTTCGTGTTAACTCTCGTGGCTTGTATGGAAAGTAAAAAAACGTGATAGTGAGTGCTGTACATACCAAGGTTGTCAAACTTGTATCCAAACCGGTTAAATTGGGTTCGACCTGAATCGGTCATCTAATTACACATGTAACCATGTCACTCAATTGGATACATACCAATCTTAATCACCCATTTTCTATTTTAACCTCATAATGGATAATTACGATTGCTGTTGAAACAGAAAGCCTAATTTAGGAGAGGATACTTAATGGTTACAAACTTACATTACAATGACCATTCCTTGTCAAGCAAGTAAGACCGGGGGAAAACAATTAAGTCGTTTGGAAGTTGCGATTGTTAAATAGATGTATTGTTGAGAATGCATGTATAATATTATACATGTATTGTTGAATTTGATGCATTGTAGAATACAACGTTTGGTATGTGTTATTGTATATGTCGCATAAGCTAAAAGCTGAGACAAAACAATCTCAACTCAACTATCTCAACAATCACAACTAAAAGTTGAGATATAACAATCACTCAAAATGAGTGATAGTTTCTGTCACATCACAGAAACAATCCACGTATTGTTTCTGCTAAAAAATAAAAAAAACGATGCATTATAAACAATACATGCATAATGACAATCTCAACAAAACTATCGCAACTTCCAAACGACCCCTAAGATTCTTAATGAAGATTTTCCGAATTGTGAGATTATACCTCTTAAACTCCCCATTTATCGTAACTAATGAATTAATTTCGTTAAGAACGTTTCAACTTCTTGGAATGTTTACTTCAAAAAAAAAAAAAAACTTCTTGGAATGTTAATTTCCCATAAAAAAAAACTTCTTGGAATGTTAATTAATAATAATTTAATACTAGTACATGGACTCTATATGCGCCGCGCGTAGGACCCATCCTCGGTATCTCGTCGCCGGTCTCCGGCGGGCCGGGTTACAATTTGAGGACCCGGATCCACGTACTGACCCGTTTAGCTCCGGACCGTTGGATTCGTGGAAGCAGAAAAGCCAACAGGGAATAAGGTCGTCGTGGACTTGGACTGGTCCGTACGATCACGATGGGTCCTGATTTTTCAATTGCCCTTCAATCAAGCAATCGCATTTTTCCACTACTGCCCTAAGTTCCCACAACTATGACCGTAAACCGAGGGCAAGTCTGATCTGTCGCCGGCCCACATTCACAATTACTGGTCTGAGATTGATGAAATTCTGCCAAGATGATTACCATCTCCTTGAGCATATGGTTACTTTCTGATTAGGTGGTGATCGTTTATCTCGTATCGCCATAACGGTAAATACACGTACGAACAATTATCACAAGTGACTAGTGAGTAGACATGAGAAATATGGCTCGATTGAGTGAGATGCCTACTCAGTTACGGAGGAAGCTATTCCAAATATACCCGTAATTTTGGCGGGGGGGGGGGGGGGGGGATAGATAAAGGCCTCGTCAGTCGTCACAAAGTCATGTTGCTGGGACGGAGTGACCGTCCGACCCTGACCAGTTATTTATCTTTAAAAATGTATTAAGACACGTCTTTATAATGTCGTGGCACCATGTATGGAAGGAAGTTGAAATCAGTCGGGACAAAATAAAATATATTAAAGAACCACGAATGACGTAACGATCTACTACGCCACTATTTTGAAGAAATTTCTACGAAATAGACTTGCTAATGAATTTGTCGACTACTCACTCTTGTCGAAACTCGCCAAATCGACTGTCTTTATCGACGTACGATTTTTATTTTTCGGTTTAAGGATCTGGCATCTAGATTAGGAAACAAATATCATCATGCTTGTACATTAATTAACAAGTGTGATTTCCCTCTCTACTGACACCAGCTCACGTCCACATTGTACTAAGTATGGCAAGAACACGTCAACGAAGGATTTGGATTTTGGAACAGTACTAAATATGCTGTCAATGTTGTAAACGATGGGTTTGATTTAAGTTTTTTGTTTTGTCCACGAGGAGTGAAACTTGGTCGTGGATTTACGTTTACATAATCTTGTCTTAAATGTTTAAGCTGTCTAACAATGAAACTTTCAAATAACGGTTCAGAAAGCTCCATTAATTCTTTGTCGCCTGCACATTGCAAATTGCGCGCTAGCCGTCGGCGAAACGAAACGCAGTACCAACAAACATGAAACGACGAAACGAAACAAGACGTAAACTATGCCGATATATCTCATGCGCTACAACAAGTGAGACAACCATGGATGGCTCCATCGCCAAGTCTTTTGACTTGATTAAACAACAACATCAATAATATAATACGTGATTAACCAATAATTATGAGCTGGTTAATTAACTAATTAATTGAAACATGTACAATAATTTCCGT